CACCACGTGATGTGACCTTGAATGTTATTTGTTGTCTGTCACTCTATTTGTGTGTACGTGTAATTAATTAATTGTTCATTTTGTCCGTACTCTCAATACTGTTCGGTACGTTTTTGTCCTCTTTTGAATGACAGTGGATTTGTACATTTTTCTTGGTGTAATTGTATGATTTGTTTTATGTTTTAGAAATAGATAAAGTTTAAGTCAAGTCATTCTGTTTTAACTACAGTTAAGCCCAGACTCTGTGTCGTCAGTATTGAGGAAGGACTAAATCTGTAGGACAAAAATAATCCTACAAAGTTTCGAACAGTATTGCAGACGAAAGTTTCGAACAGTATGGCAGACGAAAGTTATGAAACTATGCCGTCGTTAACTCCACAGTTAGGAAAGAGTAATGAAGCTGATTTCCCTGGAAGCATCGAGAATAAATCACGCTATATGATAGAATTGGAGCTAGCGAAATTGCGCATAGTCCAAAAAGAGAAAGAAATGGAATTAGAAAGATTACGACAAGGTAGTCGCGAATGTTCTTGTCACAATAAATCGCCTTGCAAACCTTCTACTTCTCATAAAGTCGCTGTATCTATTAATGATGAGTTCGCCAGAGGCATATCTAAGTTTCGGGACATGCTTGAAAGATATCAGTATTTTAAGATGGATGCCGATGAACTGGAGTGTTGGATCAATAAAAAACTGCAAACCTATGCAAATGAGGATTTTAAAGAACTCAGTAATCTTCAGCCGAAAAAAACAGAAACATCAAGAGTTTGAGTTCGAAGTAACTGTTCATGCTGAAACACTCTCAGCTCTGGATTCTGCGGCAGAAAAAAATGATTGGTCAGGGGCACTACGCAATAGATATTATCAAAAATCGTCTTGATGAATTGCATGCCCTGTGGGAAAGGCTTGTGGCTATTTTCAGAGAAAAACCACGTCTTATTAATCTAACGCTTAAATTTGTCCAGTTTTCACGCCAAGTCGACGAGATACTTTTCTGGAAGATGTTGAGACACTTCAAAAAAGGTTTGATGAGTTTACACAGGATCTCGAGTATCAAGAAAGTCGTGCCGAAGGCATCTAACGGAAGGCAGATGAATTTCTAAAAGAGGAATCCCCTGAGGATGCCCTAATCATAGAAAAATCCAGAGAGGTCCGCGAAGCTCTAGAACCTCTGAAGGGTCTGACTAGAAAACGACAAGAAAAGCTCCTGGAAGCCTATGAGATACAGCGCTTCTTTAGAGACATAGATAATGCTATATCGTGGGTGAATGAAAAGTCCATTCCTTTATCCATTGAGGACTGTGGTCGTGATCTTGCCTCAGTCCAAGCCTTACAAGGGAAGCGCGCAGCATTAGAAAGGGATTTGACTGCCCCAGATAAAAAGATTGTTCAACTTGGAGATGATGCTAAGGCGCTTGCACAGAAGCATCCTGATTCGCAAGACACTATACAAGGCAAGTATGATGAATTAATTACTGCATGGGATAAGCTGAAAAGTCAGGCTGTAGATAGGAGAGGTAAACTGGAAGAGCCATTCAAGATGCATCGCTTTTTGGCTGACTGGAGAGACGTGAGTATCTGGATGAATGACATGAAGACGTTAATATCGGCGGATGATTTGGCAAAGGATGTAGCTGGTGCTGAGGCCCAAGTAGAGCGACATAAGGAATACACCGCTGAGATAAATTCTCAAGCTGACAGTTTCGATAAATGCATGCAAGAAGGTCAGGCATTACTAAGTGTTGGCCATCCCTGTAATGGAGACATAGCTGCTAAACTTTCCACCCTTGAAAGAGGGAGAGCCTCCTTGATGCAGTTGTGTGAGGAAAGACGTGAACAGCTAGAACAGTGTATGGGCCTTCAGTATTTTTACCGCGACGCTGAACAGTCGGAATCTTGGATTGGTAAGCAAGAGGCCCTCCTAGAAATAAAAGATGCGGGAGACTCTCTCGATTCTGTGGAAGCACTCATAAGGAAACATGAAGACTTCGAAAAGTCGCTTCTAGCACAAGAAGAAAAGATGCGACAACTTGATGAATTCGCTGAAAAATTAGTCGAATCAAACCACTATGCGGCTGCACAGGTTCATGAGATTCAGGAAGGTCTTCAAAGTAGACGAAATGCATTAAAGGAGAAAGCTCAGAACCGCCGTCAGCGTCTTGAAGATTCCCACCGTTACCAAATGTTCGATAGAGATGCAGATGAAATGCAGTCATGGATATCAGGAAAACTTAAAAATGCACTTGATGAAAGCTACAAAGACTCCACAAATTTGCAAACAAAGGTGCAGAAGCATCAGAGTTTTGAGGCAGAAATACAAGCGAACCAATCCCGCGTTGAAGATATTAAAAAGACAGGTCAAGATTTGTTAAATGCAAACCACTACAACTCGCCAGAAATAAAAGTAAAGATTGAACAGTTGGATGAAACTTGGTCTCATCTCGTAAATGTCATGGGAGACAAGAAGAAAAATTTAGATCAAGCAAGTAGGCAACAACTGTTCGCTCGCAACATAGAAGATGCCGAGTTATGGTTGAATGATGTTGAAGCTCAGATAGCCTCAGATGATGTCGGTCGTGGTCTAAACGGTGTGATGAACGTACAAAATCGGCACAACTTGCTTGGATCTGATGTAGCTACTCATCGTGAGCGTATAGATACATTCAAAGTCCAGGCTGACACGCTTGCTGCAGAAAGTCATTTCGACGCTCCTATTATCCAAGAAAAACAAAGACAGTTAGCCCAACGTTACCATGACCTGCAAATCCCTCTAAGTCAACGTTGTGAGAAGTTAAGAGATGCCCTTCCCTCGGACACATCTTTGCAGCTTGAATATGGTGACTATAGTGAGCTGATGAAGTTACTGGTCGATTGTTGTAAAGATTTTAAGGCACATTCGCTTAACCAAATCGAATAAAAAATGTGGCATCAGTTTGCTGAAAGCTTCACTATTGGCTCAGTAGCCACTCACAAAGATGCCTTCAGGTTATGGGTTAAAGATAAGAACCCTGTTGTTGAAAAATATATTGGTTTCATAGAGTCATACCGTGATCCCTTTGGCGTTCGTGCAAAGTTTGAGTCATTTGTCGCTGTTGTAAATAGGTCAGTGTCTAAAAAATTCCAACGACTTGTAAATAATGCTGAAAGGTTGTTAACAAGTTTACCATGGCCTTATACGTTTGAAAAAGTTAATTTCTGACAGCCAGACTTTACTAGTTTGGATATAGTGACGTTTGCAACTGCTGGAATTCCTGTTGCAACTAATATTCCTAACTATGATGATGTACGACAAGTTGATGGATTTAAAAATGTTTCTTTGGATAATGTACTTAGTGTTCGGTTCAAGGATCCTAAAACAGAATTTCTACGTGATGAAGACAAGCAAATGTACGTGGAACATGCTGAAAGTTCCTTTGAATTACAAGTTGGACTTCATGAACTGACGGGATATGGTTCACGTAAACTGTTTCGGCGTGATTGTTATGGAAAACGAAATTTCCACACGAAAACTACTGAATATGTCATAAATGGAGGTCCTATAAAAGGTTGGTGTGAACCAGGAGAAACGTATGACAGCAAGTTTTCAAACCTTCCATCTGCAATAGATAAGTGTCGAGCTGAGTGCGTTGGAATTAATTTATCTGATTTACCTCTTGTTCTGGAGCAGTTCGGTCTGAATAGCGACTGTGTCTATATTAATTGGTTGTCAATGATTCCTTCAGTTGTAACTTCCATGGAGTTTTATTCTCCAGCAGGAAATGCTGATGACATTAGATCATGGTGTGAAGCACATTATTGTGCGTGTTATGATTGAAGCTGACGATTCTATGGTACGTACAGATGAAGTAGTCGGTGAGGACGATGCATCTGACTTGTGTATTACCTTGGATCCAAAAAGGCTTTTAACTGTGGCTCATCCAGTAATTGGTGAATTCTTAAGAAAATTACAATATTACAAAGGTAAAGAGAATGCTATGTATGGATATGCTTTCTTCCAACACTATAGTCAACTACTTTCAAAATATTTGACTGATTTGTTCTGGCATAAATGGCTACGTGGATATCTTCTGATGCTGCAAACAAGATCTAAGTGGTTGGATATAAAGCACAACCTACAACCTGATGATCTCGTCTTAGTTAACAGTGCTGACACACAGAGAGGTCTCTGGCGAAAGGCTATAGTTAAGCAGATGTACTATGACCAAGATGGCCGCGTCAGGACAGTGTGTTTGAAAACTTCAACTCAAGAAGTGGAACAAGATATAAGAAGCGTATGTTTGCTGGAAGAAGCAGACAACTTTATGGTTCCAGGTACAAGAAATCAACGTGGTGATCGTTCGCGGGGAGTGTTAATCGCGACAGATAGATAGACTATATGATAGACAGTTAATCAATATGATGTGACCTTCTTGTCGCGATTATTGGTCAATTTATTGTAACTCTCACCACGTGATGTGACCTTGAATGTTATTTGTTGTCTGTCACTCTATTTGTGTGTACGTGTAATTAATTAATTGTTCATTTTGTCCGTACTCTCAATACTGTTCGGTACGTTTTTGTCCTCTTTTGAATGACAGTGGATTTGTACATTTTTCTTGGTGTAATTGTATGATTTGTTTTATGTTTTAGAAATAGATAAAGTTTAAGTCAAGTCATTCTGTTTTAACTACAGTTAAGCCCAGACTCTGTGTCGTCAGTATTGAGGAAGGACTAAATCTGTAGGACAAAAATAATCCTACAATTTTCTACACATGACGACGTTATATGATATATATCTGTGAAAAATCCTACGTTGATTTGTTACTCAGGTACTTTCTCGATTATCACAGCGTTGACAAATTTTCTGACAAACAGTTCGATCGTAGAGGTTATGGATGAATACCTATAGAGAAACACATAAAAACGAAAGGGTGACTTAGCACGCCTCATTTGTGTTCACCAGTTATTCCGAATCTAATAAACTGTACTAAAATATTCAATAAACGAAGAAATGCATATATGCCCAAACATTGTACTAATTTAAAAAAACAAACATTTTCTGCACTAAAAATACAATAACAATTTTAAAAAATCAGTTTTATTCAAAATATTGCATCTAAAACTCCTGAAATATACCACCTTCAGCAGCAACATCCATAATAATAATAGTAGTAGTAAGTAATAGAAATAATGTAGGCTGATACAATTGAAGGTAGCAAAATCAAAGAAAGTATTAGATACGGAAAATTGACTGAGCAGAAACTTGATCAATGCTGCTAATGTTTTATGCCCTTCCAAATGTAAGAAATTTATTGACAAATCTTTAGACAGGAAAAAACATCACTGACAGGTAATACATACACGGCGGTGATTCTTATTAGCACAGTTAAACTATGCTTATATTAAATTATGAAAAGCATATTTTAGTGTGATAGTGTGCTGTTGGTTTATTGTCATTACAACTTTGAATAATGCTGTAAAGCGGAATGATATGCTTAAGAATATATATATGGTAAAAGATGGAGCTCCAAACATTTCGAAATTTATGCACCCTTTTGTCGTACACACGACGCAGAGAGTAAGGGACAACAACAACAACAGCAACCAGGTAAAAAAGGAGTAAAAACAGTAACTTTTGAAAAAAAATATATACCACATTCCAGTTATATAAGATAATAAAGTGAGAAAAATCATCAAGTTACTGATTATTATTATTATTATTACAGCTAAAAATTGATGGTGTAACGAGATTGAATTTATAGTTGAGACTTATTTTGTAAGGCTGTATGAACTTCTTGAACTAGACGTCGACGTTTCTCCTCTTCTGAAGCAGGTACAATAGAACGTAATGAGTCGACGATATTTTTTGTAGTACCAAAGTATACTTCATTCAAAGTTGAACGAATTGAATTCTCAACATCCTGAAAATAATTTTTGAAAAAACAAGCAGTTTAGTGTTATCAATTTCTCAACAACAAAAAAGTGAACCAGTCTATTTAATGAAACATTTGCACATCTCACTTTAAACAAAGGCTTGGCATAACCAGTTTGGGTGGATTCTGTCTAACAGGTATCTCTATCATCCTTATTTTGAAAATAAAATCTTGATAAAAATACTACCTTAGTGACAAAGTTTAATTTTTCCCGGTTTATACGCCGCCTATTATGTACAAATTCGCCCACTAGACTATTTTGGACCCCTATAAGTGAGGGCTAAATGCATCAATAAACCGATTTTACACAGGAAGATGAGACTAATTTTTCAGACGAAACTCAATATTTGAAAATAACACTACTAAACTTAGAATACTGTAAGAGAAAGAAATAAGTGTAACTCAATGACAATACAAAATTTACCCTGTGAATTATATGGCTGTACAAGAATAACGAAACTAATATCATTGTTTACAGGATTTCATCATGAGCTGACATTAGTTAGAGAACCATCGGAAAACCTGGGAGCACTGGACAGCTGTTTCGTCGCAATTTGGGACTCTTCATCAGTACGCACTCACCGGGATTCGAACCCAGGAGCTTCTGGTTACAAGGCGAGCCCGTATACCATTAAGCCACTGGGACCCAATCCAATGGCCCATGAACTCTAACTTCTGCCAATTCACGACATGGCGTGACCCCTAACCAACACTTTAATATCATTGTTATTCAATAACATCTGATGACAGACACAGATATATTTCTGTGTGTCAATATTACAAAAATGTAAACGAAGATTTTGAAAATATTTCACTCGACAATGTCTAATGTCGAACAAACACGAAGATCTACAGGCGTAAACGAACAAGTCGGCAGAAGTGTCAGGGCAGTAAAGACAGGATGATATCAGTGCGGAAATCAACTACACTAAGCATAAAGAACAAGATTCAGATTTTCGACACAAATGTCAAGTCAGTGTGCCTGCATGGTTTAGGGACTTGGCGCGTCACTATAGCATTTCCAACAAACTACTGAAGAATTTTATCAACAACCTGCCTCTGCCCCATACTGAAGATTAGATGGCCACAAAAGATTAACCACAAGAATTTGGCCAAGGAGACCGTTGTGTCATCGCACCAGGCCCTAGAGTGGAACTGACGAGCTGGGTGCCCAGGGATTACACGGAGGAGATGAGAACTTATGGACAGTTGCTAAACCAACTTAAGACATACTGCATACACGGTGAAATAAATGCGTGTCGCTGATACTCTATGTTCCACTAGGAACCCAAGGGGTTAATAATAATAACAATAATAATAATGTTCCAATACAAAATAAATATTTTTATATTCATGTATTTCAATGGGAACAAATAACCGGTAGCAGCAGAAACCTATGAAATAGTGTGTAAAGCAATCAAGTAGAACAATTCTGAACAAATTAAAGAAACGTTCGATCTCTCATAAATTTCATAAGTCTATAACTGTTCAAATCATAAAGAGTCCTTAAGTGCATTTACTCAAAACGCACTATAGAAGAGACTAGACTACATCATATGAAAGGTGACTAAAATTGAAAATCACAAACATGTGAATAACTTCAATATAAGAAGATATACGGTGAAAGTGGTCACAGTCAGCCTTGCTGTTTATCTCTCTAAACTAGACGAAAAATTCTCAGCAGTTAACTAATTGATGAGAATTGCAGTGAATAAGTGTTTGTAAATTATTAAAAATCTCTAATACGATCTAAAACGCAACCAAAACTATCATGTACACCTTAATTTGAGATGAAAAAGAAGTAATGAAGCTAAATTATTTACAACTCTGATTTAAAGCATAATTAGACGGCACACTTTAATATTGAAATAGATTTCAGACACTAAGATCAGTGTAAACATTTTACAAAATGAAATTCTAACGGAAGTGTAGGACTGATTTCTATCCTCTGGTGATAGAGTCTTCAATGAAGCATTCTAATCACCATCTCTTCAGTGAGATTTAAGAGTTAGTCAGAACATCTATATATTAAGCGAAATGTATTCTACAAATTTTATATACATATATATGCTGCTCACGAGATTTCGTAAGTAGTATAGTAACATAGGTATTAATATATAGTTCGTCTGCAAGGATACTGTCTAATGGAGGGAGACATTTAATGGTGAAAGGAAGAAATGAACGACTCTTATGAAACAACACAGAAAACATGAAAGGGAGACAAAAGAAGCAAAATACGGAGGACATGAATAAATGGTGATTTTAATATCAGGTAGGTGTATTTTGCTGTTTTTGTACATCAAGTTCCCGACAGACAATGCCGCTACTAAATAATACTGTGTTCTGAAATTACAGTAATATATATATATATATATATATATATATATATATATGCTACCACTAAAGAAGCAATTGTCAGTCTTCCTTTGCACTGATAACTCCATGTCTACAGTCTTCCTTTCGTTTGACTATGTAATCTTTGCATTAGCCTCATTTTTTCTGCTTTGATTTGTGTACAATTAACAAGACCAGTGTGTGAAGTTTGAAGGTGAGGATTAAAATCCGAAGCAGATTGAACTCACTTTCCCACTTATTATTTAAAACTGCAACATTCAACAATGTGATGATGTTATCAATAAACCGAAATTTTCATCACGTAGAACTCAATTGAGTAAACCAAATGCATCTCTCTAACAGGACGCAATATACACTGAAAAAAAAAGTGTTACTTGAAATGCTAAGTATAGTTCATAGCTAGGTTGAAAGAGTTCGACTAACACAAAGAATCAAAGATTTAAGTGAAAGTATACAGACGACTAAACCAGAATATCCTCTACTAATGAACATTTATAAAACTAAAGAACACAGCTTACCTCTACCATACGTCCGATATTAACGATATGAGATGTAGTTATTGGAACACCTGCATCCCCCAAAGGAAGTTCACGCTCACAAAATCTTGTTAAACTACCACCTAAGTTGAAATATCCAGCTGCTTCTCGCTGAGTTTGAAGCCATAACATGACCGTGCTTGTAAGTTTATAAATGGATATTTTAGCAGACGGTCTTTCCTACAACAAAAAAGGCGTAAAAATGAAAGGTTGTGTGAAAAAAATCAATCTCACTAAAATAGATAAGTGAACAACGTACACACTTAAAAGACATCCTAGTTAGAAACTGTTGATGACATGGATCACAATCGTTCTCAGTCGCACAGACAAATTCCCCTTTGTGAAGTCTCGGATTCATTAAATCCTCATCGTTCTCTGTACAATTATTCTTTCACTCGTACATTTTAGTTTACTGTAGTCTCTTTGCATTTCTTTTTTCCCCCTGTGTTTGCATGCTTTTATAAGGTGTGCAGAATTGAGCTAATTCACTTCCGTGCAAAATTCTACATTGAAAATTCAATTCCGTTTATACAGAACAGTAGGAAAGTAAAACATTTTGTAAGGAAACTGATATACTGTAGTGAATGCTACTTCTAAATACTGTATACAGTAGTGTCATAGGAAAAGTTACGATAATTTGTATCAACGGAAAAGTCACTGTAGAAGCAATACAAAGAGAGGGTTACAACTCTGAGGACCTAATACATGACAGCTGATGAAGTACAAAAAATTCCTATTACAGAAAGACTGATTTTATTCGCAAATAGTAGAATAAATATAAGGTTTGCCACTTAGTTTATGCTGATTGTAATTATCTACAACAGATCTATCCTCGCCAGTTTCGCTCTCCTCTGCGTTATGCTTCCACCTTAAAAAGTTTTAGCATTACAAATTCCCTTTTAACTCCTTTTCCGAATACAATAAAAGTGTGAAATCGAAGACCGCAATCTGTAAATAAACAAACTACTCATCGACGCAATAAGCCATTCTAGTATGCATCAAACTCTGTATAAACACAAGGCACATGTACACGACATAGCCCTCTTTGACCAATATACTGATAGGAAATAATTACATTCCAACTTCCATTGGAAGGGGAAAATTTCATAAAATCTAACATATGCTTTATATTTTACTAGTGGCTTGAAAACTAATACATACAACTGACTCGAACTTTTCATTTGTCCCTCCTTTTACCTACTAAATGAAATGTAACATCCTCGATTAGAAATTGAGAACAGGTGTTTATTTGTTTCCCGTACGCATATACTTTAAAATGAAAAATCATTTTCTGAGTAACCATATGACATCAGTGAGGTGATTACAAAAACAGATATACCTTTTTCAAAATTGCAATTACCTAACATCTTAGTGGTTGGATGGCAGACAACAAAACTATTACAGAGAAATGATCCATTTACTCAAGTATTTTAATAATTACACTTATCTTCTAGATGCTGATGAAATTTAGGCAGTAATGGAGAAACCAGCCTGGAGGTTTTAAATGTTTAATACCCCTATGTTATATGAATGTAAATAAATAATTATCGCCTGACTTCACACATTAAAATAATAATTGGAGCAGTAAAACTAGGAAAGTACTAGGGTCATCAGAAAAAGTATACCGGTGACTAATAGTTTAAGCACAAGTGAGCGCGTTTTGATCAAGAGGGAAAATTAACAATTAGTTGTGCAAGGAGGATATGAACGCTAGAATGACAATAGCTTAAAACAGTGAAAAACATATTTCATAGTAAAAAAAGGATGAATAAAACTTATGATCCTTCGATATGGCTGGCTGGCTGGATTCAACATAGAACTTGGCACCGAAACCCAGCAGCAGTTCGAGTTGCCACGTTCCAAAGAGCACACAAAGGTAGACAAGAAAATGAGTGAAGAGAATCAATAGAGTTTTGACAAGTATAAGAGTGAAACAGAATGAGTGATGGTAGAAAGGAATATGAAAGATTACAGAGACTGAATACATCTGCGCCACTGACAACGATTTTGAGCCATGTCACCTATTGTCTCCAGCCATTGATTCTTAGAGTCCCGAGGGCCCCAACCCGGAAGTCTGCATCTCCCTCCCTACCTGACTGAGTTTAACTGTCAGGGATTTCATGGATTGATTGATGCCATGTTTTTGTTTGGCCACCACTTACTCTTTCCCAACCTGCACCTATATCAGCTAGTAATGCCCGTCGAGGTGGGGGAGGCGATGGTTAGGCATGCGCAGCACGTGGCCTAACCATCTCAATCTATGTAACTTTATAGCTTCGTCGATTGATTTTCCCTCTTTGCCCAACACTCTACGCCTAACGTCAACATTACTTACCTTATTATACCACCTAACGCGAGAAAGAGATCGTAAACATCTGTGGTCAAAAACAGTCAACCTTTTCATGTCTTCAACTCGTATTGGCCATGTTTCAGAGCCATAGAGAAGGACGGGGCGAACTGCTGAGCAGTACACACGTCCCTTGGTTGATAGCCAGATGTCACGCCTACGCCAGAGACGGTGTAAGTTAGCGAAAGCAGCCCGAGCTTTTTGGATCCGTGCTGAGATTTCGTCACCTTCGATATGAGGACAGAATTCGGGCACTGTAGTAGAGGACAATCCCATTATAGAATGAGTTTTTGATCAAAAAATACACAGTGATACAGTACCACTTTCTGAAGAAGTTTAGAGCACAATTTATTACTCATGATAGTATTAAAGTGCTCACATAACTTTCAAACTTTATTTATATAATCTCATTATTTCCTATCCTTTGATTTTACTTATTGTAATATTTCCCACATCTTTGGAATTGCGAGCGCATCAGTCCTGTTACATGTGATAGGTGTAGATTCAAAGGACGAAGATTCAGTGATCAGTCTCTCTTTCCATCTACCAATATTATTTATTAGTATTGTAGCTTTGTCACCCCGCCCCCCCCCCATAGTACAACTGTGATAGTGTCTGCATTAAGACTGATGATATTTCTCAGCACATTACCTACTGTGGCCTGTACTACTGCTACGATTTATCACTAGTATATAAAGAGACGTTCATCGGCATTAAAAAACATCAAATACCAGGAAGATAGATTTGACGTCAGAGAAAGCAAATTATTCAGCGTTTCGGAGAAACATGGGAGACGTGAAAGGAACACGAAGAAAGACAATATTGAAGGCGGGAAGTAGCACAACACGGAAGATCTGTGCAAACGGTGATTTGAAGATAAGGTGTACATAATTTTGTTATAAAAAGATACCAAATCCCAAACAAAGATTGCTTTACCAAGTCTCTGGTCTTCTACCATTACACTACTACTACTACTATCATAGAGCTGTTTGGCCATATCATGCTAATATTATGGAGCAGTGGTGCTCAACTACCAACCAGTAGGTGGTCATGAGTTCGAGGTCTCAGCAGCCCCGGGTAGTATACGCAGCCTTGTGGCTCATCACCAAATGCATAGAATTGCAAGCGGTCGTTGAGTAGCTACTCACTGGATTTGTTGAAATCTTTAAACACTTGAATACAGAAGGTAAATAAAATAGGAGTGTTTGCAATACTGATTTTCATAAACTCAGTCGACTAATGCGATTTTATTAGATTTTTTCTCAATCAAAACACCAATGTATCACTTCACTGACCAATCTGTTCAGTACTTTCACAACAGAAAATACTTATGCAACAGACATAAATTACAATCGATAATCACTGAGAAACTGTGACCAGCAATATCAAAATGATACGAAGCACAGACGATATATGGTCAGAGTTCCAATAGCCTATAGAGAAAAACGATTCTATATTTCCATGCAAATATATGCAAAACCTGGTACTCAAGCGAATCAGCGATTAACAAACATATTAATTTTGGACCAAATTTATCAACTAACAGAAAGTAAATCACGTGACGAGAAAGTTCAAAATCCAAGACAATGAAAAATGATCAATACAGATGTAAATCGACTACCAGTCAGGAAGATGGTTGCCAGGAGACACAATTCTGTCATTCATGGGGAATTTAAATCAGTTCATTTTATGCTAAAACTTGCTCTGAAGATGTTGTCCAGAAGGACGACGAAAGCTCCGCAATTAAAGCAATCAGCTCAGCGAACACAACTAATCGCAAAGTGAAAAATGTTCGAAAAATTATTCCTAACGATTATTTCAGAACAGAAGCAACAATACAACAATGGTAAAACAGTACATAAGAATATTATAGATGTCACAAACATACAATTAAAATAACGAATAGAGACTTAGGGATAATGATTAGTTCTAGAGGAAACGATATGTAACGCGACTGTGTACCAGTTTTATTTTACTCTCCAAGATCAAAATAAAACTAATAAGACAAATACTGGCAATCACTTTCTGCTATGTATGAAAAAGTATGACTACTTATATGAAATATAAGTACTATAGTTAAGTTAGCCAGTGAATATTTTCATTACAAAATAAGAAGTGACATAATTCCATGAAAGAATATTCTTTGTCCACTTATCAGTGTTTTCACACTCATAATGGATATATCTTTAATCAAATATAATTTTACATATATATATTACAAACTTACGACAACATCAATGACATGAATTGAATCCCAACAACCACTGGCTAGTTTGGCATCACCAGCTTTTTTGATCAGGATAACCCCAGCAAATCCATGATCCATATCCCATAGATAAACTGAAGATATTCCACCTTCGTAATACCTAAATTTTAGAAGTGAAAACAAGATTAAACAAGAATACAAACATGGGTACAGTACTTCAAAAATAGTTATTTTTTGGTACATACTGCAATGAAAATAAGGGGAGAAAAATTCCTTGCACTTATCGTACAGGAAAGCCTGCTAACCCACATGTATAGATTTAGATATACATCTGGTAAAATCATAAAACCTAATATTCATGACGATTATCGAATTCTGAGAAGTTACATTTACTCTCTATTGGTTTTTTTTTAATAGATCAGTACCCATAATCCCTTATATGATCAACATTTTAACCTTACCAATTAGTATCGTTGAAAAAATCTATTTGGTATTATCAGCCACAATACACCACTGAAAAAAGCGATTCTTTTCAACTAAAGCCATTGAGAAGGATGTTGTGGTGTACGGCATTAATGTTCAGATTTATCAAAGAAACGAAAGAGTCCTAAGACTCCATTAACCAAAAGGTCCAGTGATTATGCACCCCTCCTCGCGCTATATATATATATATGCATATGAACGATGAAATCCTTACTGAGAGATTAGTTAGTCTTCTGTTCATACATGACGTCTTGCATGAGCCTTGAATTAAAGTCCTGAAATAGACAAGAACATCTGTCCTTTGGTTTTAATGGTTTATATAGCTGATATTGGTTCGTAATGAAGGTTGCTACGATATAAGCACTAACTCACATAATTGGGAGCAAAATATACCTCATTATAGGTTTAATATGAGACACGATTCACCTACATATAACTAAAGATGTATCATGGAAATGAATGAAGGAAGAATTTTTGATAGAGCATAGTGATTGTTCACATATTACATCTTAACTGCATAACTTCATAATGTAGTACGTGGAATGAGTTAGAGAATCTCCCGAAAATTCACTGTGTTGACGAATACGCAAAATAGAATGAATGCAAACGGAATATGGAGCCGTAAACACTTGGATTTTTCATAAATGTACTTGGAAGAACTCTGAGGTTACTAAAGCGTAGCACGAAATTCCGCATAATCTTCTCTTAAGAAAAGTAAGACACGTGCTAAGGTTTGAAAAATTTTTAACAATAGAATGAAATATCAGAATAAATCTGACTTATTGATATAAAATAAACTAAAAAAGTACTTGACGCATTTTTTATAAAGTACACAAAAAGAATCATTAATTAACATAAGTAATAAGAAACAACAATATTTCAGAAGCCACACTAATGCACAAAGATGAAGTCATAAATATAGAGCTATTCTATGGGATCATTCAAATGAAATTGCTAAAATTTGTGATATTTATAATAAGAGCTTAATCCTGCCCTTAAGATATTCGCCGACAATTCCAGTAGGACTGAAGCTGAGTAGTTTTACATAGGGTACATTAACCACACAGAACAAGTGAACATTGTCTCATACCAATCACACTTATGATCTCAATTAACCAGTAATGTATCGCAAGTTAATACCTCAAGGTTATGCATTCCTACTGGTCACATAGGCACTTGTAGGATCGCTTTCCTACAATAACCCAGTAATCATTACAGTTAACATTTCAGACATATTACATTTTAAAATTCATATCACACAACTTCTAATGCATAGGGTAGAATTCTCACTGTGGCCTAAACAAAGTTAATATACATAAAAAGATCATACATGATATAAAAAAGGTTTTAACTCTGTAAATAGAATAATTTAATTACGAAAGCCCCACAATTTGTTAGTCTGTTATTACCTACACCTTATGAACAAATAACAAGCTGCATATTTGTATACTGAGATTCCAAACACATCTGTCTTAATCGTATTAAAACTATTATCCACTTCCCTAAAATAAATCATGTGATATTATTCTTAATCAGTAATCCGGTGGTGTGCGCATATCTCCCACACAGTTTAGCTGTGTAGCCTCACTCCAGCACTGCAATTACTCTGTTCTTAAGTATTTTAAATCTTTCTACCCTAAATTCTTCGGATTCTGTAGCGAGTGGAAATATAGAGAATAGTTAAACTTCTTATCTTACTTACAGTTCATATGCCAATGACCGAAAGATTTTCGCTGAAAAACGTAAAGTCGTTTGAGTCAGAAATGCGAAATTAAAAGGACAAGCTTGAAAAGTGTGATGTCTTCAAATAAAATGTATTCTTGTTTAAGTTGAAGATAAAGGTGACGATATTCAGACCTGTTATTAATCAACGAACACCTTGTAGAGAAGCATATATTGCTTGGCCGACGACCTCAAAAAGCTAAGAATCGATGCTTGGAGACTTTCGGTAACATTACCTAAAATTGTTTACAACGGTGAAGATACATTCAATATTTATCATTAACAAAATTTTAAACTCATCAGATTGTTCTCTCTTTCTCTCTCCTCTCATATGTATTGCTTATTGTAGCATTATTCTATTTTTGTTTACTTTTTTTGTCTTGAATTATGACTACTGGAACTGTGGGAGCTTTTACGTTGCCTCCTCTTTGAGTTGAATCTGATTGACTAATCTAATCTAAGAAAAGCGAAATTATAGCGTGAGAGCAACCGATGTTGTTGCGTGTTCCTTAATCCTGTACAAAGTTTACTGAGCACTTGTGGAATTTGGTAGCAATGTTGACGCACACAATACTGAGATATACTTCGTTTTGGTGTTTAACATTACGACCTTAATAAGCTAGAAATTCCAAGTTTCCCCATTTTCGGTACATATTAGTAAGGTGTTCGGAAATAATTCACAGGAAGATATGCGTAAAAGCTGTTTAACTGATATTGGACGTAAGCAATGAACACCAACAGTTAAACAGAGTCTAAATTTTCCTCCGAATTTTAGTCAGCGTTGTTCAAAACTCGAATTAGAAGGATGTTATCAGGGAGGTATTCAGACAGTAAAATACACACTGAAGATAACATCACAAAACTTACGATACGAAATGTAAACACATAACAAACTCCAGTGTTAAAAAAAAGGAAACCCCACATTAACGTAGGTATGTTGACACCTTTGGTGTTTGTAATAATACGGATCATACGTTTTGGATGTTTGAAGAGCCTAATGAAGCTCAGCCATACAATGAATTATGAATGTGACGTACGGGAAACAAGAGATGGTGAATTATTCGCTCCCATTTTTCCAGCATAAAAAGAGAAAGAAGTGTCAATAAGAATCAAGAAGAGAATCGGTGAGCGGAAAACATTTCCTGAGGATGGACTGATAGTACATTATAACACAAAATGCGCATTATGTCAACCAAAAAAAGATAAGCACCATGCCGTTGGGGTCAAATAATTACAACATAGCTTCTGCATTCAGTAAAATTACGTGATTAATCACGCACTGTCCTGGTAGGTGGATTCTGTTTTTTGTTCCATCACAACAACTTGTTTAGTTCTGATTTCTAGCCACCGAGTTAAATTCATTAATAAACAGTACAATTTATTCATTTGTTCATTTATGTAGTAATTTGACTGTACTTACTACGCCTGTTTATTATCATGTATTTGAAATCCTTCCTTTTTTTCCTGACTTAAACATCATACTATATTATGCGTAAATTAACCCTTATTACTCCATTATGGATAAGATTTTATTTTGATAAATCACACAGTGTTGTACAGTAATATTAACTGATGACGTTTCGAGCATAAACTATTGCTCATAATCATATCAACTTTATATGATTATGAGCAATAGTTAATATTACTGTACAACACTGTGTGATTTATCAAAATAAAATCTTATCCATAATGGAGTTATGCTCTACCACAGTGCCCGAGTTTTATACTTATATCAATAACCCTTATTACCTAATTATTTTTATACTAAGTATCTTGTAATTTCGATTCTTAATAACTCCACAAAAAATTATGAACTGTCATCTTTCAAACAGTATTCAAGTATGTAGTCTATCGTAACTCTTGCGACTTAAACTGTTTGAAAATGGAACGAACACACGATAAAAAAGGAAATCTTATCATTGAAATTTATCAAGGGAAGAGAATAAGTGTTATATTATTAGCTAAGTTCAAAACACATTAACACTAGAAAATTATTACAACTACCGCTTAGGTCTCAATTTTCATAGGAGCCTTTTTATTGTGAATTTGTAGTTAGTAGAAAACATGATTTCAAAAGTCAAACACCTTAGATGAATCCGTTTACATAAAAACACATAGTACTCAAATGGATCTTATCAACACCAAACCTAGCATTACTGTGTAAACGTGTAAGTTTCAATATTTCATATTTTCACTTCTTGTAGAAGGCAATAAAAGAGAAAATAAACGGATACACAAATGATGAAATTACTTACATTTCTCTGTACTGATCAAAAGCCGTATTGATTTCGATTTCGCGTTTACGAAGACTCTCGCTTGGCACAGCTCCGTCTTCTAGAGGAGGATCATAGGTATTTGACCAAGGCGATCGATAAGAATCACCATCTCTATTATAATCGCACAGTAAGTAATCTCGATCTGCATGCACATCTCTTGCAATTTTTAAAGGCTGATCTACTGAACTCAATATATCTTCACAATGCTCTGGTGTAAGAGAGATAATGTCCATTAAAGTATGATCAATCTTTTGAGGTGGTAGGCGCCGCATCAAATCCATAACACAAGTAAGAGGATTAGACTGAAACAAAATTATCAAGATCATTATCTGAGCAAATAAATATTTCCAATAGGAATAAAACACAATGTTATGGCTTCAAATAGCTGCTTGTAACAAATACAAAGGAGGAGAATTAGATGCTTGATGACAAAAATTAAAACTAGAGCCCATACAGTGTGAAGCAAGAAAAAGTGCCAGATTCGTAAGCCCATAGTGGACCAAAGTTAGTTATACAACACCATGTAAAAGAATGAGGACATCAATGTCTACAGTGTTTACTCAATTCTCAAATACACTGTTCTCAGTTAAGGTATACCTTTCTGCAAACTATTTTTAGTAATCAGATTCCTTCAAAAGCGAAATATGAATTCACAGTGGTTAACAGGAGTGCATTATGTGAACTCAGTCTTTTCTCATTTAATCCCTTAATAAATAAAATATATATATATATATATAGTACTAGTACTAGTACTCACGAAGGCAATCATTTACTTTCCACCATTTTAGGCTAGTCATTTCCTTCTCAACCTCCACAAAAGTTAAAACCGAGTTTCTACCTACTTTAGTCCGTAGTCAGGCATACAGCAGAGGGAAAAATGAAACTCATCATCCTCAAAGAGGTTCACTAAACAGGTTATAATACTATTCGAATGCCCAAAAATAAATGGAATTAGTACTAAACCGTGAACAGATCGTTAGTATTCGAAAGCCTAAGAGTTAGAACAGCACTGAATAATAGACAACTAAAGGTAAGAGTTTGGGCAATTTAAACGATACTGCTTAGAAAATTTTACTCGGTCCCAGCAACCTACTCAAGAATTAAGTCGCTGACTAATTTGTCTGAATGACAGTTTATCTAACTTGAATCTTCTCTATATTATCTGACATTTGAAAGACCATTAGCTTTGGCCTAAATGCACTACCTTTCTGAAATACGTTGATTTGTTCTTTGCTTACCAACTACTAATGAATACTACATAGGCTTTATGTGTTTACGTTAAATTCAATCATGTTTTTGTTCTTGGTTTTTTATATCTTAACTGTCTATACCTATTTTAGTTCACCCATATATATATTTTTTTTAAACAAACAGCTATAAACTTCAGCGGCAAACCACAAAAACACAAAATATTATGACAAGAAATTGAAGACATTGTATATGATAATAGAGTCAACACGTAAGCAATCCTAGTACGTACAGTGAGGGAAACCATTTGTCACTTTGTTACTTCAAATGGTAGAAAAAACAGTAGTGAAATCCCCACTGATTTCTACTTGATAACATCGCCAGACACAGTCACATGACCCCTAAACCAGGAACTTGTAATTTACTAAAACAATCAAGTGAGAATACAGTAGATACACAGACATAGACCCAATATACTCACAGAAAGGGTGAACCACTCAACAACCAGCCAACTTAAAATCGGCCAAGATGATAAAGAAATACGATGAAACGCTAAAAGCAGAGTGCTGCGCTACAAAAACAGCTGGTCCTCATGCGACTCAATCATTTTCTATTCCAAAAGGTTATGAAACAAAAAATTAGGTTTCCTTAGCCTTAAATTCATATCTTATCAATAAATTTTTCTGGATATACGTTCTCACTCAGTGGTTCACTAATAATCTTGAATCCCTTATTAAAACAGACATTAGAGCATATTACTCTAGGTGTGTGAAACAAACACTACTGAATTGCGTTCAAATTTCAAAGGTAAGAAGCTAAAAGAGTAAATACAGCGATCAGTATATACTCCTTTTTGCTGCAACGTCCTCTTTCCTAATAAGGACGTCTTGAAATGAAATACTATCATTTCTTTCTTCGTGGTGAAACTCACTGCATGATCCACATCATTACATTTATCAAGGATGCTCTTTGCTTTGTTCTCATTTTTCATAACAACCGTATTACAGAGTTCTCGTTTATCAATTACTCTTTCAAAGGCTCACTCTCTAATTTTGAGGGAAATGTCAGCTAGAATCGTTGCTAGGGATGTCCTCATAAACACATTATAAATCTGTAAAATTCTTTATAAAATAAGAAATGAACATCTGTTGTGTATCTGTAAAGAGGTTTCTTCACAGAAGATACAGTAAACATCGATGTTTCGCTTAACAAGTTCTTCGGATTACAATAGTACATTAGCGTGTATGGAAGATAAGACAAACGTATTATGAATGTATTGTTTACAAATCAATCTCTTATCTTTTTAACAAATTCGAAGGTGTCCTTTATACTGTTTTACCGATTCAGTATGCAAAGTTTATTAGAGTCACCAGCCTCAAACGTTTGACAATCGGATAGTACAAGCAGTTTAACATATCTAGTACTGGTTGAAGTAAAAAACTACTTTAGTGGACATTTGGAAAGCCATACAATTTCGGTGTGGACATCACCTTGCGTGATTAAGCAAGGAACATACAGGTCTATTCACAGCCCCGTTATAGCTCACTTTGTAGATACTGAACATAAAGTCGATGTTAGCGAAGCACTTAAAGTGGAAAATGTGAAAAGGTCAGCTGTTTCTGATCATAGGTGTCTGCCTTCTACCTCCCGTGTTAGATAGGGCTAGCAGCATTGAGGCGTAAGCTTCCTAGTTGGGGTCCTCAGAGTACTAACAACCAATAGCTGGAGACAATTGGTGATATAGCTTAAAATTGCTATCAATATTATTTAAGAGATTAGTGTTATCGACAAGGATTACTCTACAAATACTGTGTTTATATAACTGTAGAGCCAGATGAGGAAGTTGTGGAAAAAATATTCTTATTCTAATCTTTATAGAAGACAATTGTCTTAAACACAAACATATATCGTGCAAATATGTTGACATATTTCCTGAAAACTCTAGGCACCAAACACTACGTCGAGCCGGATGCTGCCTAGGGAAAAATATACTAGAAGAATGAAGTGTACACCAAGTTCTTGAACTAAGCCACTTTATGGAACGTTCAACTGTATGGTTGATACATTATGGACAGTCTAGAAGCCCTCTCATCAACAGTAAACATATATTATCAGTAAGCCAACAAACAACCAAAGCCAAACATGGATAAAAATTATTCTAGTGAAGTCCTCAAATTTGTTACTACAAAACCAGATTTACACAAGTATCATTCCTATTACTTCTTGTAATGGAAATTTAAATAACAAAGGGTAACTAGTAAGTATGTTTAAAGCATTATTATAAACGATACGAAGTATGAATAGCATAAAACTCACCATATCCATCTTGATGTGTCACCGGAGCGAAAACTTTATAGAGCGCGCTGTAGGTATTCTAATGTAACGCAACCGTTGCACAGCAGACCTTTGCCTGCAGATTTGTCTTCAGAGGTGGGATGCTTAGAGCCTATATGAGTCCATTCTTGGGAAGTAACCATGTCTGCCTAGCGCTCTCGTACACCTACATTTCTGACAATATCAATAATGCAAAAGTCTGTGTTAATTTTTCCACTAACTAATGTATTGTTAAAAGGGTTAAAATTAAAATGCGAAGCAATATTGTACTACATAATAAGTATTCCACTTTGTATAAAATACGCTGTTTGTAATAATGCTGTTATTAGTTATAGTATCCCCACAATGAGCTACAGGACATTTGGTGAGACTAGGCGACTTGTCGATATGTGCGACAGACCACAGCATCACTCAACACACTACTTTACATCGTCAGCCAGGAAGTATGTATGGAGTTCACTCTAAATATGCCTACTGCTGGCAATAAAAATGAGTAAACTGCCCACTATTCGAAAACTTTCCAGATTAATGAATGATCTGCTACGAGACACAAGTCAGATGCCCTGCTATTTTGCATATGAGTTGCATCGACGAGTTCCTTGCTATCCTGAGACCAGGCTAACTCTTCTAATACTTTTGGAAGTTGTCAAATCGGAAAACGCTGTCGAGCGTTGAATAACAAACTATTGCTTTCCATATCAGATATGGCTGCATTCATCACCATTCTGCTTAGACTCTTAATTATTGAGTTGTTGTTACTAATAGGCCTGTGGTTTGAAGGATGCTGTCTAGATACTTTCTTGAGACTTGAGGTGGTTAAAGCGTGCTTCCATTCGAGAGATGATACTCCTTACATATGGGATAGACTGAAAGTGGTACCCATCGGACCTACTATGTGAACAGCCGATACCTATTAATGGATTTCCTTTATGCTGGTTATTCTCAACTGACTGACATCAGTGTGCATCAGTAATAAGATTGGTACATTATCATGAATGGCATATGAGGATAATTTCTTGGGTGCTTCATATGGTGCAACCTTCACACAAAACAGGTTCCATTTGCGATTCTCCAGTCGCCACTAAAAATTAACTTAAAACTATTGTGTTCAGTCTACTGGTGTGTGAAACACTGGGGGTGGAAAATACTTTCTGCTAACTACTGTTTCACTCGTTAACGCAACAAAGTAATGAGTTGATCAATGAGAGACGGTGATATCGCAAATGATATAGTGTTGTAGTGGTGAAGTTGTGTTCTCTGAGCTTGGTGATTTACTTCCGAAAATGTCTTTGCTTCTTTAGACATCTACAGCCCGTACTCCAATATGAGGTAAATTTATCTGAACACTACTTGTTAGCATGGTAGTCTCTCTTGGCGACTTTATTTTCAAAAGAATTGACAATTTGTTAACCCTGAACTTGACCTTATACAACGTAAATTATCCTTTGCTACTTGATAAAGACGTCTGTTGACTGCAAACTCACCCCGGAGCTATACTTCTAAGAATTCCCATCATTTTGCCCTTCCATTTGTCTAAGATTAAGTCCATTCAAAACTGAACTAGTGCACATGGATAATGGACATCACGTCTTTGAGAGAGAGAACATGTTCGTGGATGCGACAACGACGGAGACCACTTGAAAAATGATGTGCTTTTCACAAGTTTCGCAGTTCATCCTCCAGGTGATATTGGCTTATCTATTTTACTGACTTCTTGGATTGACATATTGTAGATAGAAATGCATTTGTTGGTTTCCGTTCGACACATACTCATGCAATTATTTCAAAGTTTATTCCATATATGGTACGACGCTTTCGTCTGTTCATCGTCTGATAGGTTGTGTACTCCGGTGAATCTGCAAACACATACATGACTGTCTATGACCATTAGATATTTTCGAACACAGTGATCTAAGTAGTATATAGGTGATGGAAAATGTTGATAATGACGCTTTACAGAGTTCACAGAGGCAACCTACATTTCCCAATTTCAAGACTCAGTACCATTCACAATTTATTTCGAGGTTCGTCACAAGCGCTGAACATGCAGATTCTTTCTGAAGTCAGGCGGCCTCAGTGAAACGTCTGTTGGTTTGCTGGGGATGGTGTCTGTGACTTGAGTGACCATCTAGGTTACCAGTTATCTACGCTGCTCGATTGAATCTGACCTTTCCTCCGGTTGGTTTCAATTAGAAATAACTCTCATGACTGTGGTGGCCGCCTTTCCGTCTAGGCCTTAGCTCTGGCAACACTGCCTGCTGACTCTTTAGCCTGGCCCACCTAAACTGGTGGCCAAAATATTTTTCCCCAGATATTTGGTTCATGGACAGCGATGTCATCTTGTTAAGATCCAGCAGCACCTAATCCTCCTATTACGCGATCTGTCAGCGTCAGAAGTACAGCATGTGATACGGTCCAGGCAAAGGAAAACATTTCGGGGAAACCCATGAGAATTTAATGATTGTAAATGTTCTGGAAGCTTGATTAAGTTAAGATGATAAATAACTTTTTTGATTGCACACTAGTCAGTAACTAGTGTAATGTGTCTAGTCCTATCTTCGGTGCACTACAATATATTATAGAGGCATTTCAAGCCATGCAGTTTTTACGACACACCTTTTTTTGCACGGTGTAGCTTTCATTTCCCTATCTACTATTTGGCGTGCGATGGCACATATAAAAGATTATTTGTATTTTTTTCATCCCCCTCGAGAGGCATCCACTTAGAAAGCTGAACTGGTCTAAGTACGGATCCAAGATGGACTGTCCTTCTGAAAACTTCTCTAGATAGATTATATACTACTGTTTCTGGTGGCGAAATAATTGGTAGTAAGAGAACGTTTGATCTGTATCGTTTCTTTCTACCGCAAAATTGATTTAAAACAGGTCAGCTTGATTTCGTTCGCTAGTGATCTTCCTCTATAGCTTCATTTGTTAGTTTATTTAATGTTATTTTGATTTCGTTATCTAAAGTTTTTATAGGGTTTTTCATCAACTATTGATATAAATTATTGTCTTTGAGTAATTTATGGGTATCACTGATGTTGCCGTTTGTGTTCATGATTACTGTTGTCCAACCTCTGTCTATTCTTAAAAATTTAGACCAAATCTAAAACAAACCTGACGTTTACAATAACTATTGATTAAATCCAAAACAAAACCACAGGGCTTCAAATATAATTATGTTGATAAAAGAATGCCGAAACCTGCAAGACTATTGTTCTGTTAGAAGCAAATTATCAGATACAACACAGTACTAACCTTCAAATATGGAGTTGTCTGGCGTCCAGTCACAAAGAGTAAAATAGTTGGTTCACAATTAACAAAATGTCAATTAAACAAGAGAAGTTCAAACTTTCCAATTAACCGAAAATATACGTTAGTGTTTAAAGTTGGAATATTAAAAATAGTGATATCTTTCCAATCCTTGGGTTTCTTCAAAAGATTTGGCTTTTGAATGTTAAGTATTGCTTTTTCACTGAGGGCTTGATACACTGACGTATTTCTTATTGTACTTCCTCATTCAAAATTTATGTTTTGATGGATGATCCCAAGGAAACAAAAATATCCGTCTATAAAGCGTCACCAGGATTGCAGTTCAGTCCTTTCTGAAGGAGTTTTTTCTGTTTGATAGTGGTTATTCCGATAAATTTACTTTGCAGACATTGGTGTTTCTTCAGATGAATGTTCAGAAATCGTATCTAATTATTCCTTAAGGACATTTCATCTCTCTTCTTTGTGTCGTTAGCTTAATACTTTAATTGCAGTGTTCAATGTTGCTAGATGTTCTGGGTTGAGATTTCGTCTTTTTGAAGTTTAATCATATTCTGGTATTTTTTATTACAATTGTGCCCATCAGTGATCATTAATTTCATCATTTATTTTCCATGTTGTTTTTTAGTTTCCACCCAGATGGTAGTTAATTGGTGGCTTATATTTTACAGTTGCCCAACACCTCCTTAATTACATCTTCCGAGCCATTTTGAGTCCACCGGAGCTTTAGAAAGCTAAGATTATCATCCATCTTTCAAATTTGTGAACTGACATTTCATGCTAATCATACTTTACGGACAACATGAAAACAGTTCAGAATTGCTCATTGCTTAGGCTTTATTATTTTGATGGTGCTCTACAGTCACAGGATCATTACATTGCGAGCGACCTAAAAGCACTTATTTGAACAATTAGTCATCAAGTGATCCACCACAGAGCGATATTTATACGCCCAGGTATCTGAAGGCTCTCATTCCCAACAGTGATGGATCATCTCAACTAACAATGAGAGGCTACCAATTTATGATTGCAAAGGAATGTCTACGATACCAGATACTTTATGATCATCTTTACCCGTAAATAAACTGGTGGTGAGCTTTATAAAGGCTTAGTGAAGCCTTCATAAGTGTAATATACTGGATACTGCCAGTATAAATAGTATATAATGAAGATTTTATAATTTGATAGTGTGGAAAATTCCCATATTATGAATTAAAAGTCAATCTGAACGAAGAATATTCTTTTCAATTATTTCTCTTCAGGTTCTTACAATTATAAAATATAATATTTGTTGTCGTTACAGCCTAGCACGTTTGTCACACAAAAAACGACTATTAATTTTGACACCCCATAACTAATCTGTTATTCTACGTTAAAAATGTATCTACCGCACAACTGGCCTTTATTTTAATGACAACAAATATTATATTTTATAATTGTAAGAACCTGAAGAGAAATTATTGAAAAGAATATTCTTCGTTCAGACTGACTTTTAATTTTATAATTTAATAATGATGTATATTTTCATATAAACAAATTTACATGAAAATGCATGCCATTTTTACAGGCACGATCAAGCATGATATAATGTCAAATAGTAGATTGTCTACAAGTTAATAATGTTTGAACAGTTAAATATTTGATATATATATATAAATACACTCATTGTCTGACCCATGTCGTATCATTATTGAATTAAACAGTAGTCCTCCAGGTTG